CCCCAAAACCCCAAAACCCCAAAACCCCGTGATGAGTCTAAAGTTTGGTTTGAGTGAGAATAAAATTATTCTTGAAATGTAAATTAATTGTTCTTGATAGTTAAGTAAGTATATATGATATTTGACATTACACTCTAATAAATTGCTGGTTCTAGTCATCAAATTATCAGTCTCTATTCTTTTCTGATTTCTTACTGGTATCATCTTCAGAGATGCAATCCATTTCTGTACTATCAGATATACTAATTTCAGTTTTTATCTCTTCATCACTATTGTCGTTTACTGAGGGAGAGTTCTCCAAAGACTGCTTTGCCTTAAGGCTTTACTTTTCCAACTCAATATCATCATTATTCCCATCAGAAATAGCATCTTTGGTCTTCTTTTGTTTTTCATTCTCCATTTTTCTGTTCAATTTTATGATAAAATGGTATCCTAGAACTGTTGGTATTAAGGTGAATAAGGCGTAAAGCATATGTACACCTATGAAGCTATTAGTCTGAACCTTGACATATGCAGCAATAAAAGTCAAGAACATTCCTCCAATATTTTCAGCTACTTTCATTATAGAGAGTGCTTTGGGCATATTTGATTTATCTGTAATTGTTTTACTATATAATGTTATGAATAGGTAAATTACTTAATCAAGGGGCCTTAAAGAGTAACAAATAGAGCATGACCAATTCCGAATAAACTAATTGGAATGATAGCCATATTATTTGGTTCAGTTTTTACATTCCCTATGGTTGGAATTGCATCACTCATTAATGTGAAATGCATTTGAGTTAGAAATATTAAGCCAGTTGAAAGTGTCAAAAGAAATTCATATTGAGACTCTCCCATTTTTTAAATTAGAGATCCAAATAAAGGTGTGGCAAAACTAGCGATTAGATAGGGTAATGAAGCAACATGCCCTGCATCTTCGTTAGAATATGCGAATCTTTCCTGTAAGAGACAGCTAAGATTTGGGTAGAATGAAATGATAACTGAGAAACCGAACATGTACATAATCAGAAGATAGACATAGTCTTCTTTTAGAACTTTTTCTTTCTTAGGAGTAGCATTTGATGATTCTTCAGAGTCTTTGTTCTGACTCTCTAAGTCTTTTTGCTGATTTTACTTGAGTTCCTATTCTTTCTCTCTAGTGGCATTGGATTAAGTTGATTCGCAAACAGATTCATGTATTGTAGTTAAGTAGAAAGCACTTATTAGCGATCCAAGACATACTACAAAACCAATCCAGAAATAACTAGCAAGTGAACCTGTAGCATTGAAATAGACTGAGGCAACATTGTCATTTATAGCTCTCACAATCTTAACCATAAAAAGAAGGATTCCAAATACGAATGGGAGTTAAGTAGGCTCAAACCAATAGCATAAGATCGTCTGCTGAAAAATACTTACTGAGTCACTTAGGCCAAAAATAAATCTACCCATCAAAAGCATATGATAGTTGTGAAGACTTAATCCAATAGCGAAGAACATCTAGCCGATGGTACAAAAAGTACAAAGCAACATCAGGCAGTATTTAAATCCGAATTTTTCGACTATAGTCCCAATTAAAAATGGCATGAACAAATTGGAGAGTCCTCTGATTGAAAACAATAAATTGAAATCTGTTTCAATGATATTCATGTCGTTTTGAATCTCTCTCTAGAGTGGAGCAGCACTATTTCCACAGAATGCACTAAATGACTTAGGCTTCAAATATCTTACTTTCCAAAATTGGCTGAAGCTGATAAAAACACGATAAGCATCCTCAGGTTTTTCTTCTTGATGTGCACTTGCTGATCATTCAATGACTGCTATCTAAGATAGAGCATGTTGTGTTACATCATGGTTATTGATGCAATGTTGTAAGTAATGTTTTGCTCTATTGCGATTCCATGATTAGGCTCATCCTTTGTCTATTGATTTTTTGGTTTTCTGTTCTAAAATGCTTGCTAAATTACAGCGAATTCCTCAGGTTCCATTAACTCAAAACTCAGAAATTATTATCTTATTATGAAAAAATTAATGCGAACTTTTATATTTAGCTCAGCGGGGTTTTGGGGTTTTGGGGTTTTGGGG